CTAAAACAATACCAGGAAATTAATGAAGAGTTCTGTATTGTGTTAATAAACATCTTATTCAAAGAAACACTTGTTTTACAGCAAATATATTTTACATCAAACTATTTTAACTGTTATAGGAGCAGTTTTTATTGCATGTTATTTTTCTGGTTTGTATTTCTGAATTTTATTTCTTTACATTTTTAAGCACCCAAGTAAAGAATAGACATTGGAAGGACAAGGTACAAATTTAAATACAAATGTTTCAGAGCAAACTACAATGTAACATAAAAATTAATCAACTGTTGATTGGATATTAGATATTTGGCAAAGAAGTCATTGATAGACAACAGAGTAATTACACTTGTGTGTGATAAATGGGAACAGCAGAAAGAGAACTCATAATCATCTAGTTTTAAATGTTTCACTTCATGAATGTAAGATAAACTGGCCACAGCATGATGCCCTATGGTGGGATACACTTTTTTTTTCAAAATATGGGTCACATTTGGTCAATAATTAAAGAGAGACATTTCAAAAGAAGAAAGAAATAGGAGAAAATGGAATATGATTCAATTTCAACCACTAGCAAATTTAAAGTTACTTTGCAGTTAAGGTTAAAGACACAGGGCTAGAAATTGGAAGACTACAAGTTCTAGCCTTGCCTAGGCACTGACTAAGCCAACTGAATGAAGACTACAACCTAGGCACTAAGCCAACTAGACAAATTCAGGTCACTTACCACTTCTGAAAAGATTCCTAAAAAAACTACTGTACATGGATTTATCCAAATACTTGTCAGTAGTTGAGACTGACTTGAAAAAACACAAAAGTCGAATAATTAAATACACAAATTATCTGTTTCAATGTAACATAGTTTTCCACATTTTCAAACCCCTCTTAAAAATGACAATCCAGGGGATTCCAGAATGAAACCAAGGAGAAAGAGAATCTCTATGCAATTTGAAATTCAAGAGAAAACTTAGATGTGCTATTGAAAATACTGGAAAGAATACATCAGAAGGTTCTGCTGCTTTTCAAGTATCTCCAAAATCAATATAGTATCAAGGAAAACCCTTCCAGGCATCAGAAAAGACCAAAGAAACTTCCTAATGCTGTATTTTTTTCAAAGATAGTTCTTATTACAGAATTTCAAAATTTAATCTTCAAGTTATGTTCAAAATTCTAGCAAATGCATTAATTTTCCAATATTTACCTTCAAGAAATACTTTTTGCAATAACTTATTGCTAAGGAATGTTTGAGTATCTACAGTATTAGAGAATCTTTCTTTAGTCACACATTTAATTAGACAAACCTGTTATGCCATATTGGAAAAAAAGAGAAAATATATAAATCAATTTAAAATTGTTGTGGATGAATTACAGGTAAGCCTTGACTTACAACCACAACATTTATGTTGCTGAGACTATTTTTAAGTGAGTTTTGCCCCATTTCATGATCTTTCTTGCCACAGTTGTTAAATTGTTAACACTGTTAAGTGAATCTGGCTTCACCATTGACTTTGCTTTACAGAAGCTGATTATATAAGATCCAAGACACTGCAACAGTCATAAACATGAACTAGTTACCAAATATCCAAATTTTGATTATGTGACTATAGAAATGCTGCAACAGTCATGAGTGTGGAAAATGGTTATGTCACTTTTTTCAGAGCTGTTGTAACTTTGAACTGTCACTAAACAAACTGCTGTAAGTCTAGGACTACTTGTATATAACTGACAAATTTGGCCATCATTGTTAAACTGCTTACAGTTTGAAAAACTATGCCAAGCCATGACAGCAAGCTTTGCTACATAATGCCACAAATAAACAAAACCAACCATTTTAGCTTTCACTCTGGTTACTTCATTAGCACATTTAACTCTAAATTCAAAATTAGAAAATGTGAACAGATTGTCATTGAAGCAAAAAATATCTTCAAAGATAATAAAAGAACAAGCATATTGTCATTTCAATATGTGTTTCACTCTTGTACTCATGACTCTGCCCAATCAGCAGGAATTCAATGCTCAGTCAAATCTCCTGTCACAGACAATATAGCTATGATTCTTCTAAAATATTTAGAAACCAGCTTGCAACAATGTCAGAAAAAGAGCAGCAAAACTACTGTCAAGCACTCTTTGTATGGCATATCAGCAATCAATTATTGGCACTTCTTCAAATCATGAGACAGGTAGGTCTCACCTATCTGAAATGTAGCAGAATAAAAGGTTAAAAAAACACAGCTGCATGCTTGTATGATGAGAACCTTTTAAAAAAACATGAAAAATGAAATAACCCATTCAAGACTTAGCTGAAGACTTTATCTTGCCATTTTACTATATGTCAAGAACCCCAATTTCTTTATCAATCTTCTCTTACCAACTTCATCCCTAAAATAGAATAAACGATGTGACTACATCATTTTCCAGGAGCATACCTACCTCTTGTTCTATAAAGGATCTTGCTATTAATCTACTAAAATCACCATAATACTCCTAAATGAACATATTTTTAGAACTTCATACTCTTCACCAACACTTAATAATTTTATTCTCTGTATGACTGTAAGTAAGTTAACTGTTTTAGCTGTATCAGCTTACCAATGGATGAGCACTAAATCTGTTGTGTAAAGAAGCCTGCAGAAGAACTGATCAAAACAATGGGGAAAGTGCAGTGGTCCCCCCACTTTATAGGGAAATTCCCCAATTCTCTGAAGGGGGAAGAAGAATCACAGCTGATCAACTACAGCCGATGTCAGCCTTACCAAGTAGACCACAAAGGAAACATGATCAGATGAGTTAATTCTACTTTATTAAGCAGTTCTCCCAGTGTCCTTTACAACTCAAGAAATTAGGGAGGCTCTATTCTGAGTCTCTCACTTTGCCCATTATACATCTATAGACTATGCTATCTCTTATCTATTTCCTAGGCAGAATATCTGGACTCAGTTTCCCAAGGTCATCCCCACATATACAGAGAAGATGTATGGTAAAGTGAGAGAGACAATTATTTAAAAATCCAGCAGGCTTCCCCACCCCGCAGCCTGCCAATAGCTGATCAGCAGTGGGGGAGTGTTGAAAAGCGATTACTCTTTCAAAAACCTCAGCCCTGCAAAAAGCTGGGCAGCTCTAACTAAAGCAGCAGAGCTGATCATAACAGGAGAGCGCCGCTGGGTTTTGAGAGAACTGGTTCTTCTGTTTTACTGGGCATCTCTCTCAGGTTTCATTCTTGCTTTGACCCACATAGGAAGATGTGGACCAGCCATCTTTCAAAACTCACTTCCACATCACTTTGCTTGATAGATGGATTCCCATATGCTGATGATGTCAAGAAAAAGAGGGTTTTACTTACATTGCTTACAGTGACACACTACAGTGACACAAGCAGTATGCTACCATATGGCAATAAAAGGAAGAATGCAGAATTAGCAATTTAGCAATGGGAATTAATTCTATGATGGTACAGTGGACTTTCGTCCCAAGGACAGGTTGGTAGCACTTTATCACTGCTACAAGCATAGCCCCTCCTTATTTCTTTTCCAAATGGTATACAAAATCTATTACGCATATATCCAACAGATTATTGCTAAGCCAAACTAATCATTTGATTTAACATTGCATCCATTAAACAACGTCTCAACTTTATTCCCATTGCTGAAATAACCTGTTAGAACAATTCAAACAGTAAAACCAGAAGGGGAAAAAAGGCCCTATGCCAATATTTCAAAAGGGTCATTGGATATATTCACAGTAACCTCCAAACCCCCTTGCTTTAACTCTCTAAATGTCAAATGCAACAAGCCCAGAGGTATTTACACAGGAGATCCACAGCCCACAGTAGAAAAGGGCAGGCTAGGATGGGACAAACATTACCATCCTGAGAGAAGGTATTAGGGAAGAATAAAAATGCCACAACTTCCGTAATATCCAATGTATCCCAAGTAGTTTTACTCTGTAAAACAGGGGTCCCCAACCACCGGTCCGCGGACCGGTACCGGTCCGTGGAACAAGTCCTACCGGGCCGCTGGCTTGCTGGGCGCCACCATCTTTTTTTGATGAAAAAGTGCTTCCGGTGAGGTCACCGGAAGCATTTTCATCAAAAAAAGATGGCGGCGCCCAGCTGATGCCGGTACCGGGCCGCGGCATAAAAAAGGTTGGGGATCACTGCTGTAAAAGACAGGTAGTCCTCGACTTACAACAGTTCATTTAGTGACCATTCAAACTTACAACACTGAAGAAAGTAACTTATGACCATTTTTTGCACTTATGACCATTGCAGCATCCCCACGGTCATGTGAATTACATCTGAATGCTTGACAACTGACTCATAGTTATGACCGTTGCAGTCGCCTTGGGGTCATGTGATCACATTCTGCAACCTTCTGACAAGCCAATGGGGAAAGCCAAACTCACTTAAGAAACCGGGTTACTAATTTAACAACTGCAGCGATTCATTTAACAAAGGTGGCAAGACAGGTCATAAAATGGGGTGAAACTCCCCTAACAAATGTCTCACTCAGCAACATCAATCTTGGGCTCGCTTGTGGTCGTATGTCAAGGACTACCTGCGCTTCAGGAATTTAAAGACCCCCTTCAGGACTGAAGGTGGCCTCCCCTGAACATGCCCTTGCGTGCTCATTTCTCCACTTCAGGGGAAGCGGAGAGGACGTGCCCGCTCCTCTATTTGTCGGTGTTGCACTTGTCACCAGACTCCCCCTCCCCCCTCCAGGTAACACGAGACACCTCCAGGTGAGTCAACCTGCACTCCGTCGCCCAGCGGATCAACCGCCCTTCCACCCGGCGTCCCGAGAGCCGCCTCTGCCTTCAGCCCCTCAGAAGATGCCCTTCCTCCACCCAACTATCCCGTAGCCACCCCAGCTCCCTTCCCCTTCTCGGTGCCGGCAAAGTCCCCGCCGACGCCAGGTTTACCTCCAAGGAGTTCTTGCTCCCGCTCCCCGCCCTTTTCGCCCAGTGGGGTGGCTCGGTCAGGGCCACCATCTATCTGCTTACGAACTCACCGGGTCGGAGCTGGAGGCTGCCGTCGGCGCGGCTACACCAGAGCGCCCGGTTCTCCTGTTGCAAGATGTAGTGATCTTTGGCTTGGAAAAGCTCCATGGCGGGGTAGCCAATGGAAGGCAGGCAGGTAGGCAGGCAAGGCAAGGCAAGGCAAGAGAGCGAACCGTCGCGCTCAGGCAAGCCGCTGCCGGAGAAGCGGCAGCCAAACCCAACTGGACCTGCCGCCCCAGTCGCCGAAACCGGCTACGACCCAACCCTCTTAAAAGGCGGCTATTCCGGGAAGAGACGCGCACAACGCTCGCCGCCGCCGAGCTTGTTGGTTCTGCTCCGACCGGACGGGTTCCGGCGCGCGCATACCGGCGGACACGTGACCTGCCCTTTCCCCCCCCCCCCCCCCCCCCCCCCCTCCGCGTTTAAAGAGAAAGCGCCGCCTTACTCGCAGGGCGGCTTCACGAGAAGGGAATTCGCTGGTGGGCGAAATAAATCGATCCATTTCCGTGTCTTGGTTGATTGGTTAGGGGGCAATCAAGTTAATACAGGTACTCCTCGGCTTGCAACAATTCATTTAGTGATCGTTCAAAATTACAAGGGCATGAGGGGGGGGAGGTTTGATGGATGACCATTTTGCACATTTACCACCCTTGCTCCATCTCCATGTGGTCATGTGATCAGTTGCTTGGCAACTGACTCACATATATGACTGTTGTGGTGTCCCGGAGTTATGTGATCCCTTTTTGCAATGTTGTTAAGTGAGACATGAGTGAGTTTTGCCCCATTTTATGAACTTTCTTGCCACAGTTGCTAAGTGAATCACTACAGTTGGTAAGTTAGTAACCCGGTGGTTAAGTGAATCTGGCTTCCCCATTGACTTTGCTTGTCAGAAGGTCTCAAAAGCTGATCACATGACCTCAGGACACTGCTACCGTCATAAATATGAATCAATTGCCAAGCATCTGAATTTTGATCACATGACCAGGGATGCTACAACGGTCGTAAGTGTGAAAACCGATCATAACTCACTTTTTCAGTGCCATTGTTACTGCATGGTCACTAAATGAACTGTTGTAAGTCAAGACTGCCACAGGGAAGAAGGGGTCAAGCTATTTTCTAAAGCACCTATAGGCCAGACAAGGAATAATGGATGGAAACTGAACAAGGAGAGATTTAACCTGGAAATAAGGAGAAACTTTCTGACAGTGAGAACAATCAACCGATGGAACAGCTTGACCTCGGAAGTTGTGGGAGCGCCGTCACTTGAAACCTTCAAGAAGAGATTGGACTGCCATTTGTCAGAAATGGTGTAGGGTCTCCCGCTTGGACTAGATGACCTACAAGGTCCCTTCCAACTCTGATTATCTGTTATCTGTTAAGAACCACCTGTACTACCTTGTGATAGAAGCCCCAACCTGTCCCTCTGACTCCACTTGGGATAGCAATGAAAAGCTGGGGATCAGTAGCCTCTTGATAACTATTTTCCTTATGCTAAACTAGCTTTTGCCAATTTTAAAAAAAAATCGCCAGGTTCCATTTTTCAAACAGAAACTATATGGAAAACAATTTTTGCTATATAGTCATGGGTAGAGTTTATATTCTCATAAGGTCTAAAGTGCATTGTTTTTCTCTGAAAACTTTTTTTCTTTTTGCCAGACAACTATAAACTTGAATTATCCATGTTTGAATCAATTTATGTATCTGCAGAATACATATGTTTGCAAGGCTATTGAACATGAACTGGCACAATAATGAAATTGATTCATAGCAACAACGTATTTATTTGTGAAAAATACATAAAGATTGAGCATTTTCTTTATTTTTCTCAATTTTTTTTTAATTTAATAAGATCTTTTTCTCTATTCTCCCTACTCCATTTTAACTTTCATTCTGAGTCATATGTTCCTTACTGGAAATAATCTCTAAGCTTTCTCTTCTCAGCAAGCAAAGCAGTAAAGGATAGTTTGTCTATTTAAGCTGAATAGAGGACAGATCTGAAGATTAAAATCTCTTTCTATTACCTCAAATAAATTATGCTTATTCTCAGAGAATTCTTGAGGAATTGTATCACACTGGAAACAATGACACTAGAAACTAAAATCAGATGTACAGCACAAATAACAGATAATGTACAGCACATGTAATATTAATTTATTCAAACACATATGTATTCCAATTTGATGTTTCCTTTATACAATACTTCTTTGTTCTTTCATGTTTTGCACAGCGTTGTCCTTGAATATTTGGTTCTCTCGACAACAAAAAATGTTACTTCCTGGTCCAAAGATCAGGGCAAACAATAATATATAAATAAACTTTAAGAGCATGAACACAAGAGCTGAAGTGTAAAGGTGATACATTAAGAAATGAACCAGGTCCTTTCCCGTTCTGAGAGCACCATGGCCATACATATTTATAAACGTATATGTAATATTACAGTAATATGTAATATAAACATTATCATGCTTCCCTGAACATTTTTCTGTTCAGCTATTTTTTTAACATACTTATTTTTAATTCTTTCAAGAAGCTTGTTTATTGTAGGTGTGGGAAGTCCTGCGGCCCCTGAGAATGAAATATTTTGGGGAATATTAAAAGAAGTAGAATATTATATTTCCCCAATATAATAGGGAAAGGGAAGTCTTTCTTAATAGCCTACAGCAGATGCCCATTAAGAAATCTTGGGCCAAGCCTATTCACAAACTAAACACCTTCACCTCCAGGTGATGGGATGAAGGATAGGACATGATCTAAACCAGGGGTCCCCAACCACCGGGCCCCGGAACAGTACCGGTCCGTGGATCATTTTCTACCGGGCCGCCGGTTTGCTGGGCACCGCCATCTTTTTTTGACGAGAAAGTGCTTCTGGGTGAGCTTTTCCGCTTGGAAAGCGGCCTTTGGGTCCTGAAGGAATCCTCGCGGCTTAGTTTCATCGAAGGGGGGGGGCGGCTTCGAACGAAGAGCCGTCCCAATGGCAGAGGAGATTGAGAAAGCACAAAAAAGGTACAAAGGAGGAGTTGAAGGTGGCGGGGAGAAGCGGGGGACGGCTGGCTGGCCGGTCGCTCGACTCGCCTTGCCTTGTCATGCATGCTGATGCCGGTACCGGGCCGCGGATCATTTTGTGATGCCGGTACCGGGCCGTGGCACAAAAAAGGTTGGGGGCCACTGATCTAAACCACATTCAATGAGAAAAGTGGAAACAATACCGGTCCATTAAGAAAGGTAGGCTAGAGGCAATAGATAACAGGATAAAATCCAATTACACATGCCTGACAGAATTAGGACAGAAAGCTGATAATTAAGATCCATCACAAGCCTTTGTGAAAGAAGTAAAACCAATCAAATAATAAAAGCACACAAAACAAACCTCAAAATTATAAAACACCATAAACTGTATAAAAATCCTTGCAGTCATCAAGCTAATTTGTCAGTTGTCCCAGAACTTCACGCTATGGTTCTGCTCATCAATAAACTTTCTTTCCGATCAGCCTCCATTTTTATTTCCAGTGCCTTTCTCTCGTACTGACCAAGATGGATTTTTCTTCCAACATAGGAGAAGGAGTGGCAGAACATGGGAGCAGAGTTAAAAGATCAGCTTAGAGTCTCTACTTAGCCACAAGTGGACTAACCCCCCCCCCCCACCCTTGAATTCCATTGACCCTTATGTAACTTAAAGCAGTTCAATTGGACTTTTATTTGTGGACCTAGTTTTTTGCAGCTGACACTTATATTTAGCTGTGAGGTTGCAACATCATCTCTTGTTTTCAATACACCGAGTCAGGAAATTCCACAATCTTCAGACACAAATGTAAACTTCCTTATATCCTCAGCAATTTCCAAACTATGATGCTTCCTAATCCTTCTCTTCATTAACTAACAGTACCAATCCATTAATAATGTATATTACTGTCTGTTTAGGATATGATGAAAGTGCCTAATCATGCAAACATGAATTTGTCTACTGCCAAAAATAGGCATGATTATGACAGTTATTCTATGTTTTCCCACTTTTGCTAAAAAATACTATCCTACTAACATGAGTTGCTGTTCAATGTAAAAATGTTTCTATTTTGTATGCAGTCAGATTTTAATATTTCAAGTGCTGGGAAATTAAACCTGAATATTTAAAGGAAAAGATCTTATAATTTGAAATGCATAACAAAAATAATATCATATGATTAGTTTGAAAAGGCTAATAGTTATTTGCATTCTCTAACTTCTCAGCAGAAGAATACCGTAAAAGAAGAGATTGGTGTTCAAATGAATCAAGATTCAGGAATATTTCAGAGTTATAGATGTTCCCAAAGGCTCACCAAGATTCAGGCAATGTTAACAGTCAGTTCAATGATCGTATACACACCAGACTGTCTTTGTAGGCACCTGGTACATTTTGTGAATATTTGCCAATACGTTATTACAGGAGCCTGGAAATAAATATATCCAAACCTTAAGCTCCAACAACTGATACTCTGTGGACAAAAATAAACAAAGGTATTGAATGTGAGGTCCATTTTCCTCCATATTGAGACAGTAAAGCCTTCGCTATTTGATAATTCAGAGAAAAGTAGCTGAAGATAGATTTATAAGACAAGTGATAAAATGCCAACCAAAATTTTTTATTAGAAATACAGGGTAGTAATACCATTACAGTCAGTGGTAATCACAATACCCTTATGGAAGTAGTGAGAAAGCACTATCAAATATGGCCAACTTCCCTGTAACAGCCCATACTGTATTGGGCAGCTGACTTATTTGGCTCCAGGTTGACTATTATTATATGTCTAAGACCCTATTCTGCATTTGTTGTTTATTAACTCATTTTAGTCTTGGTTGCCTGATTTAACTTTCATTGGAGTTCATTGGAGTTGAGCTTGTAGTAAATGTAAATAAGTAATTAATACAGACTATTCAATGGAAGCAAAGGGTGGGCTGTTTTAGTATCTTCTTGCTACCACTGAGAAGAGATTTCTGCAGGCAAATACCTATGATAGCTATTATAATGCCTTCTAATGTCCTTTGTCCTCAAAACATATGCTACAAATACGCAGAGCAATCTCAGCTGGCATCCTCTTCCTTTAAAAGAAATTCAAAAGCACTAGTAATCTTAG